TAGAATTGCTCATACACAGGGTGGGGTACTATGTTGTCCAAATCCAGGAATGATTTTATTGTGGGTTGCTGGCTTAGCAAAAGCAGCAACCCACACCCCCAGTGATCTTTGCAATCTCACTAGTGCATCTGCTTGCCTTCCCTGCCAGTGACTGCCTCTCCACCAATGTCCTAATGACACTTTGGAAGGGCCATAATTTGTTCCTCATCCTTTCTGGAAAAAAAATGTTGTTTTGGTTCTTTTGGAGTATGCAAATGCCTTCTTCTTACTATTACAATAATAATAATAAATTATCAACCCCCATTCTTTTGCAAGTGTGCAACAACACACGTTTGCCTGTCTGATATGTATTGTCTGTTTGATAGATTACTTTGAGTGTGTCAACTGTGGAAGAGGGCACAGAAATGAAAAAGGGAACATACAAGGAAATGGAGAAGACAAGGCTGTGTGTAGGAGGACATAGTTGCGGAGGGCTGGGAGTGAAATAATAGGGAAAGGAGGGACCCAGCAGTACAATTTAGCAACACTAAAAGTGGGAATAAAAGGTGAACAGAGTAAGTGTATCAAAGGAGGAAGAAAAACTATCCTCGCACTCTTAACTGCTGAAATGACACTTCTGGATGTTCTCCACATTTTCAACACTTCTCTGATTCTCCAGCTACTTCAGAATGGGGAGTTATTTCCTTCACCATGTTTGCTCCTTCACCTTACAAAACTTGTCAGCAGAAATTTCCCTGGCAGTTTTGTTTAACCTGAGAAGGCAAATGGCATGGGAGCCCATTCAGTGTGTCCTCTTTGGTTCAACCAATTCAGCAGCCTTTGAAGGGTTGGAGTTTTTTGAAATGTCAGGAATATTTGTGCAAAAGCAAAGGCTGGTTAATTAAATGGAGGGGAAATTTCCTCAGATTTAAGGGCTGGGAAGGACACAGAGGGAAAATTTGCACACCTGTAGTGACTGTTTTTAAAAAGAGACACAGAAAGGTGGAGGAGCCTAAGAGGAGAGAGGGAGCTGTGGGGAACCCAAAAGGGGTCAGATCATGGGGGTAATAGGGAACAGCCATTGTGAGCTGCCCCAAATTGCTGCTTGGGCATTTTGCAGGTGGGTGCAGTGGTTGTCACCTGAGAGCCACTTGAGAAGAGCCTCAGGAGAGACAAGTGGCTTACTGACTGTTGGGGCTGAACCACAGGAGGTCATATCATCTATGTCTGGGTGACATGATAACCCACTGTGGTGCAAACAACCTTTAGAACAGTCTAGTGATTCTCAGCAAGAGTGATGTGAGCTGGGTTCGGATGGCATGACAACCAACCAAAAACAGCAACCAACCAGTGGGTGTTGTGTTGTCTGAACCATGTCACTGTGCCTTATCCTAGCAATTATGAATAGGTTTGCATGACTTCCCAAGCAACCCATGAAAACTATCACCAGTTGGTTGTCATGTTGGGCAAACCCAGTCACTGCCTTTCTGCAGATTTGGCTAAAGTTTGACATTACTGAATTCCATTTTTAAAAAATACCAACTTCTACTTTGGCACACAGATTAGCAATCAAAGTCAGTCCTTTTAGATATATAAATATGTTGCAATAAAATGACCACTCTCAGTACTTACTTGTCATGTGTCAGAACATTTAGTTGAACAGTCAAAAGATCATTTCAAATATATTTCAAAAAAATCAACCTGGGCTGACTTTACTTCAGGCACCTTTTTCTATGCCACTCTTCTGAATTCACCTGTACTCTGCTGGGCTGCTTAAAGTTTTAAATTAAATTCTAAGTGAGAAAAAAAAACCCTTACCTGAATAGATTTACTCACATGTGCTTTTCCTTCTATCATGATGGGATCGCTCCCAACTTTTGCGAGTGATTTCATTTCTTGATTTCCAGTTGCCACTCCAATGACCCAAGGGGGAATTCTTGGCTTGACAGAAATGCTCATAAGAAATGACCTAGGGTCACAGGGTTTGAATGGTTCCGGAACATTTAAAGTACTTCTATTTTTTTTCAGAGCCTGAGTCTTCACATGGGACATGATTTCTGTGTTCAGAAATTAACAGGTTGGCTTAGCTGTCTATATAAAAGCCAACTGGAAAGAGCTTATCTTGAAAGACAAGAGTATAAATAGATATAATAGATGAATACATTCCCAGTATTGTGTCCATCACACTGTACCCTGACCAACAAATAAAAACAAGCGTGGGACTGTGCAGATAGGAAAATACTTGCTTCTCAATAGCTAAGGTAATCAAGAACAAAGTGCAGGTGTCATTCTCATTGCAACTGCATTCGGCAAGGGCTGTTTACTCAGATATATTCCTATGAGGAAGGCTACAATGAAGGACACTGCTATCAGGTCAAAAGCCGCACTCCACCTTTTTACAGTTGCCTGCCCTCATTGTCAAGTATTCTAGAAACAATTCAAGTGGAATTTCTGTGTATGGAGCCTACAGAAACAGAGAAACCCCCTCCCCATGTCCTTGTAGTATACAGAAACTTTCTCTGTTCTTCCCACAGCCATTATCTTGACAAATATTTTGCTAATTGAATAAAAGCTGCATTTGAGATGTGCACATTTTTTGCAGCTCTGCACTGGCAACTAGGAAAAGCGGTCTCTGTATCTTCTGGACTGGACCCTTGAGGTTTGGGCAGCCTGTCCCAACTCGGCAGTCTTCAGGTGTGTTCGATTGCAACTTCCTTGACGCCAGTAGCATGCTGGCTAAAAGTGAATGGGAGTTGCAGGCCAACACAACCAAAGGCCACCAGCTAATGCAAGAGATAATAAGATTAGGCAGGTTCTCCAACCTGTACTTAATTGATTCAGAATGCTTTGTCTGATCAACTGGAAACTCATTGGAAGGCTTTTGTACCTGGATATGTTCATGCATGCAAACAAACACAAATTGCATGTCACACAATACATGAGGAGTGTGTGAGCTAGGGATGAAAGGTGTTGCAGTATAAAACATACTGTCATGATTGCCCTTTTTTTGGAAGTAGGGTATAAATCAGTGACAATAAAACAATTGCTTAGCTATAAATGTGTCTATATGCACATTTTATATGACACATAATGTGTTTTTAATGGGTTTTAATTTTTGTAAACCACCTAGAGAGCTTCAGCAATTTGGCCATATAGAACTGTAACTAAATGAAATTTTAAAACCCTGGAGGGGATCAAATTGGGGAAGGCTGTGTTAGCAATTTAATTTGTTTGATTCCTACGTTCAATTGTATTGTTTAAGAAGAGGAGCTAGTGGGCACTGGTGGCTGGATGTCGGTGGGACAATATAGCCATGCCAGGTTTTGGTCTGAACCTTGTAGGAGCTATGCATGGGCACGCGGCCAATAAACAGCCCCACTGAAGTTCAGCACCGTGGACAGCTCCCATAGGCCAAAGTCCAGAGGGGATACATTGCCCAGGGAAACTGAAGCCATCAGCCACTGCTGGGGCAGGGATGGCATCTTTGTAAGGCACCTCGCCAATTCTAAAGGCATTTAGAACGGTGACGTCAAAGTACGACGGTTGGCCTGCCAGTGACGCCAGGGGCAGTTAGGCGTGGGGCGGGGCCGCTTGACGTCATGGCCAACCACGGATGGGTTCCGTGCTATGGGGCAGCGCCTTTCCTTCCCCTTCCCTCAATCCTTTCCGCTCTGACCGTCCGTCCTTCCGTCCGTCCTTCCCTCAGAGAGCGGCGCCTTGCCTGACAGGATCGCCGGCGGCAGCGGAGGCGGTAGGCCCAACAGCGCCGGTTGCTAGGCGACCAGACGCGCAGGGGCGGGGAGAGCGCGGAGAAGCGCGCGCCGGGCGGAGGCTCGGCGGGGCCGCTGCACTGCGACAAAGGGGAACTGGGCGGGCGCGCGCGCGGGCGCCACCCCTCGCCTCCCGCGATTGGCCCGCGGGCGTCGAGCGGAGGCCGGGCTTTGGGCGTCCCCGCGCGTGGATTGGCTGATGGGGCGTGAGTGACTGAGCGCCGCTCCCGCCCGTCTCCCTCGCCTCCCCTTCTGAGGAGAAAAAGGGGTAGCGCGTGGCGGCGCGATTTGGCCGCGGGGCGAGGCAGGTGGGTCGGGGAAGGGGCTTCGGCCCATTAAAATGGCAGCCCCTTTTTGGAGGAGGGAGGCGCACTAGTGATCCTGCAGGAAGCATCCGGCGTTTTCCCAGGGAATAGTTAATTCACGTTCATTTTGATTTTTTAATTATTTGTGCATTTTGTGTGCGTATAACTGTTCCGTAACATATGTAGTTTTATGTTGTCTTGGCTACTGGCCGAAAAAATGGCCAGTCAACCAAAACGGTTGTTGCTATCAGAGGGACGGCAAAAACTGAATTCCCCAGGATTTCCTCCCTCACCCCTCCCGCCGCCGCCGCCTTTTTGGCTCATTATTTGAGGGAATTAAAGTGCTGACTCGGGATCCCCCTCCCCGTGTAGCTGGCCCTGAGGGTCAAAAGTTCGGGAAATGGTTGCTAGTTGAGTGGTGTTGCAGTGTCAACACCTTCCTCGCCAGGTGATGTCAACCTGGGCATGGAGGAGAACTTGCCAGATCTCGAGCACTGAGTCTGCAATGCCTCTTAAAGCAACAAAATATTGGGGGATGCCTAGCATCCCCTTAGGAAAGGAGGTTGTGAAGAAAGAGTGTGAAAGTAGGGGCACTCCTGCCTAGGATAATAATGGAATGCCTCATAATTTCTCCAGCCTGCGAAGAGATTGGTGGGTGTGGACGGAGGGATGGATGGGAAGAGACTCTTGAAAGAATAAGAAAAGATTCGCGTATATGACAATCAAGGGGGTGTCATGCTTAGTTCAGGATGCAGTCCTGCCTGTTCTCTTTTGCTTTTCCAGGAGCAAGAACTGAGTCCCAACTGGATGGAGAAACGGCCGTATTACTGAATCCGCCCGAAAAGCTGACGCTTTCTGGCTCTTTGTCTCCCTGCAGGATACAGATGTTCGCCTTATTCGGTCTGTCCTTTTTTGCTTCAAGTGGAAAGGTGCATTTTGAATCCTGGAGCTAGTAATTCATCATTTTGCCTAGCAATAGCCTCATTCTTGTTGGAGCATATTTCAGGTAAGTGGCGCCAATTGCTCCTTTCTGCTTTCTTGATATTTTGCATTCTTTCCTACTGGTTCATGCAGCAAGGGGTTTGGTACAACATATTCCAAAGGTGTTGCCTTCAGCCAAGCAGCCATTGTGGTTCTTCCTTTGCTCACCTGCAACTCTCATGTTTGCAAAAAGTGCTGATGTATGATAGGAAGGAGTTTTAATTATTTTCAGCTTTAGTTTATTCTGAGATCTCTTGTTTTTTGAGTGTATAATTTTTCCCTTGGATTCAGTCACAATTATTATTCTCCATTAAAAAACAGTTCTTTCCAGACTAAGTCAGCCTATCTTATTGTGCATCTTATACAGTTGACAAAAAACCTTTAGGTAATTTTGTAATTATTTCTTTATTCAAAGTGATTTCTTATTGTCTTGGTAGGATATTTTTCCTCAGAGAAGTCCAGATATTTGTTTAAGAGATCGTCTGCTCCTTTAATTATGCCCTGTTGATCTGAAGGGTTTGCTTCTCTTGAACTCTTCACTGGTTCCAGAGCAGTTCAAGTCCCTGAAGAATCATCTTGACAGCTACACTGCTGTTATTTACTGTATCATGTCTTTTCTAGAAAATGTTTAATTTTAGGAGATGTAACTGTCCTGTATCTTCACTTCTGTACATTTTGAACTGAAGTCAGGTTTTTAAGGACATATTGAGCACTGACTTGGACACACTAGAAGAATGAGATTTCCATTATTTGTTGTGGACCACATTTTATCTTGCTGTCTGATTCCAGGGGGTTACGGGAATATATTGCCATGAAGGAGTCTTAGGTACAACACCAATTGTTACCCCATAATTGTTTTGATATTATTAATTTATAGATGGATTGTTGCATTATAATTTGGAGGAACAGTGTATTAGCATATCATTTCATTTCTTAATTTGCCTTCAGTCCAAATTGGGCCCACTAGAATTGCTTTTCAATTTGACTTTGGCTCGAACTGAAATTCACATGGTATTTTAGTCACCTTTCTGTTAAAAATAAAAATATCCACCAAAAAAAGTATTTGATGAAACAGTAGTTCTTTTGTTCTACTGTAAAATTGCTGCCTTCTTTGAGGACAATATTGTGAAATTTGTCCTTGACCAAAATGAAAATGCAGGAGGGTTTTTTAAGGGTTTTTTTCTTTAAAAACACCACCACCAGCAACCCCCCCCCCCCCGCTTTTAATAATCCTAAAGGACAGCCTTCCCCAATTTGGTGGCCTTTGGAGGCATTTGGACTGCAACTCCCAGATTTCCCTCCAGCTGGGCCATTGATTGGGAATTCTGGGTGTTGAAGTCCAAATGTGTCTGGAAGGCAAAAAGTTGTGGAAGGCTGTCCCAACGGTGTCTCAATTTCCTTTGCCTTGTATAAAATTGAACCTGGGGTTATCCCATAGAACTGATTAGTGGGAGATTCAGGACAGATAAAAGGAAGCATTTCCTCACACAACCCATAGTTATAGAACTGTGGGATTCACTTTCATAAGATGTTGTGATGACCCCCAATCTGGACAGCTTTAAAAGGGGGTTGGACAAATTCATGGAGGAAAAAGCTATCAATGGCTGGTAGTCCTGATGGTTCTATGCCACCTCTTTTATCAGAGGCAGTCTGTCTATGTACACCAATTGCCGGGGACAATTGCTACGTACACCAAGTTGCACTTCTGTCCTGCTTCTGGCCTTTTGTTGGGCAGCTGGCTGGCCTGTGTGAACAGAATGCTGGACTAGATGAATCCATGGTCGGATCCAGCAAGACTCTCCCTATGTTCTTAAGCAGACATTATTGTCTCTTAATGACCATGGGTGTTTGTGAATGGGCAATTTACTCGTATAGGTGGGGTCTGAGTGGGGAGCGGGTGACAGATCACTTTGAATTTATAAGATAATCAGACAAGGGAGAGAGAACCATGAGCTAGTTGAAGCACCCTTAAGTAATAGTTGCTCTCTTAAGGACTAGATTAACACATATGGGGCCTGCTTTTAATAGTATGTTTGCCTCGTGCATTTATCTGTAAGGCAAATTTTACAAACAGTGTCCACTGCTGTCTTTCCCAAAAGAAACTAAACTCTGGTGCTGCCTCTAGAACATCTCTGCTCAGAAAACGTATAATAATATGAACTGAAGACAGCAAACTAAAGCTCTTCAGACGGTTTGTGTATTGTTCCATTCTTCATGTATTTCCTTTCTAGTGCCAAAAATGAGCCACGGATATTCGGAGAACAATAACTTTCCATATGACAACAATCAAATGGTTTTGGATATGATCCTCTGCTCTTTATTTGGGGTCCCTCAACCCATCAACTGGGACAATGTGGCAAGGCTGGTTCCAGGCTATTCATCCAAAGAGGTATGGTGTTTTTTTCTCAAGTTGGGTGGAAAAAAATGCCCTTTAAACAATGGGAGCTGGGTAGGTTCCTTACTAGTTACACTGAATCTCTTATCTCTATGCCTTAACTAAATTGCTTGCAAGTAAACTTTCAGGTAGAACTATAATTGGCCAGTGACCTTGTACCATAACACCTGATTATTTATTCTGGAACCTTTTGGTTTAAATTAGGAAGAGTCTCTGGCTTATTGTTAGGTTATCAAACATACATCCAGTTCTCAGAGTAATAAATAATGCAGTGATTTATACTAGCAATAAAAGCATGGAAGATGAAACCAAGGTTACAAAGTAAAAACTAGTGTCTGTGCATACTTTAAAAGAGATATAATTTAGAAAATTCTCTCTCTGAAAAGCATCTTCATACATGAATGTGTTGAACCCCACATTCCTTTTATGTAGCAAATGGATGATATGAAGAATCAAATGTATGTTGTGCTCAATCTAGAAGGTACATTTCACATTCAGAGAGTGTTAAATCTAATATTATAATGAAAAATGAACATATCTTCCCCAGGATCCACTTTCCCTAGGTATTCTGCTCCTCTCCCATGACTCAACCTAGCAAGTGTAGACAAATAGATGTAGACAAGTAGATGGACAGAAAGAGTAAGGGAGAGACAATAGAAAGGGAAAGGTGACTACAGAAAGATACCCAGAAATGAAAAGCAGACATATCCAGATTCATAAGGGTCTTAAGTATATTCTTGAAATGCTTTTTTGAATGCCAGGTTCAGAAGATAATTTGTGCATATTCTGATGTTTGTTGTAGTCCATCTCTTTGTTGAAAACAAAGCTGATTTTAAACCTCACGAGTGTTATAGTAGCTTTACAGGTATTGTTGTTAATATTCAATCATTGTGACTCCCAAGAGGAAGACTTGCAAAGAGGTAGAGCCAGTCACTCACTGTGACATCACCTGGTTGCCCTGCCCCCTTTTAGATTCTGTGTTTGTGTACTGCTAGAAAACCATGGTGCTCTAGAATGATGGCCCAGAATGCCTTCCTTACCCATGTGCCTGACTAGCAATTCTGGACTAGCAAGTCAGATTAGCTTTGCTGCCCTAGCTATAGTGTAGGTGGGTACCCTACAAAAGAGAGGCATTTATGCTTCATAGAAACTGTGAAGTAAGATTTTCTGCCCTTGTGCTTCAGCCTTTTGGAAATGTGGTGTCTCTGTGTGGGCAGTGGTGGGCAGAAGGTAGATCTCCAGATGTTTTGGGCCTGAACTCTCCACATTCCTAACCATTGGTTGTACTGGCAGGGGTGATGGGGAGTTGAAATCCAGAACATGTAGAGATCTTTTTTCTGCCCACCAAAGTCGGCTTCAGATTACAGCCTCATAGTAAGACCCAATAAGCCCAAAGTACTAACATTACAAGTATTTGCATGAATGCAAGATTTACAGTTCTCAACTTAGAATGATAGTGGAGCCTTAGCTCGGTCAGAATATGTATTTTGCTTGTAGAAGCTACCAGTATCTCATGCAAAAATAATTACTGCTTGCAGGACTGGGAGAAACTCCAGCTTCAGATCTTGGAGAGCCACTGCCAGTCAGAAGAGACATTCCTAGATTAGGCAGATGAGTGGTTTGATGAGATAAGGAACTTCCTGGATTCACCTTAGCTGCAGGAAGATATGTGGATGTAAATACTTTGGATTGGGATTCCTCCTTCAGGAAGATAAGATAGCTTTTCAGGCAAAAATTGAAAAGTGTTCAGATTCCTGCATGGGAGCTAAGCTTAAATGCTTAGCTGCTAGCCCTGTATTAGATTGAAAGTCACTTTTCAGATTCCAGAAACTAGTGTCTGCACTCTAGGCAAACCTGTGATTTCTTCCAACCTTCTTTTCAGCCAGAACAAAAACTGAAAAGTCATCCTCTGATTTCTTTTGGCAGTGTGCAAAAAGGTTTGATGAACTGAAAAACAGTGGAAGTTCTCCGGTTGATAACCAATACAACCCACTGATGGCCAGTGGTGGGAGCCCTGTGGAAACACTTGCGAGTTATATCAAATCGTCACTTCTTGATGCCCAGGAAGAGTTACAAGAACCTCCTAGTGAAAATGATGCAATTTCCGTGAATGGTAGGGCCTCAAAAAGTTCTTTTGCTGCATTTACAGTATCACATATGCTTTTTAAAACATTAGTCTATAAATTGAGATTGCCTTTTGAATAACTGTCCATTCATTTTCAAGGTTTAAATTAAGTGTGAGGCTTTTTAAACTAGTCTTGGAACAAAACAAAATGTCCTAGAGCTCCGTAAAGATGGCTTATTGTAGGCTGAACTTTTATGATTTATAAAACCTGCCTGCAAATTCTCATGCTGTAACAGGCCTTTTATCAGCCTTCCTCAGGCTGGTGACTTTAAGATAGAGACCAATTCCCATCATCCCCATCTAACTTGGCAACTGACAGTGTTGCCTATAGATGACAGGAGTTGTCATTAGACAGACCTGCCCACCACTTTGGGGAAGGCTGCCCTGTATAGTAAAATCACTTGATAATCTGTCAAGCATCTAAAGTACCACAGAATTCAGTTACTAAATGAGCACCGGAGATCAGAGCTCTGCGTTAAAGCAGATACTTTGCATAGAGAAGATTCTAGGTTCCTCCTGCCATGAAAAGATTGCAAGCAGGGGGGAAAGAAAAAAAAATATGAATGACTTCATTCTTGGGTCATGTGGGAATAGACTGAAGTAGAACTTATTCTGATCCAACACAGATCACGTAGAAAGTATTGATTGTTTTATATGATACCGTACCTTTGGCAGTGAGCGGTACTTGCACCAGCCTGGCAGAAGCAAGGAAGAAGCAGGAGCAGCACACGGGAGAGAAATGGGTGATGCGCAAGGTAGATGGTCCAAGCGAAGGAGCCACAAAAGTCTTGCTCACAGGCGAAATAGGTGGCCCAGTGGATAAGAGAGCAGAGTTGGGTGGCACTGGAAGCGTGCCTCAGGAACTGTAGGTCGCTGGGCAGGAGAAGATAATCTACCACTACCAGTTGATTAAGTAACTGGGGAAAAGGAGGCTATGTGCATTATAATTTATTCGTGGAAAAGCGTGTCTGTGGAAAAGTTGAACAAGCTGTAATAGTAATACAGACGAGGAACTGCCTCTGGTGTTCTTGTCTTGTTTCGTTCTGCTGTCTGTCTTGTTCAGGCTCCACAGATCTTGGGTTTTGCCTCTGCTCAGCCCTGTCAGGGATCTAGCATTAATTGTTTGGAACTGGAAGCATGTTAATGGGAAAGGAGGCACAGTTGACCTTCTCCCAGTTAACATTTTAAGAGGACATCCACAGTCTGAGAACTTTTATCCCCTTCCTGCACTGCCAGTTCAGCGAGGAATTGGCCATGCAGGAAGCAGTACTGAGGTAGTATGGGAAGGAGTAGTTTTAGCTAACACGTTTCATGTTGGCGGAACAGCAGAGGCTGTATGAAACGCAGAGGCCAGTTCTCACCTTCCCATGCAAAGGAGAGTGCGAGAAAGAACACACAGTACGTCAGTCCTAAGACAATTGCATACATAGCTATGCTGGCTTTATTCCTGCCCTTTTTGTATGCATAGTGAGTGAAAAGGTTTAGCTCCTCACTTCCTCCATGTTTCTACCTACACTGGATTGATATTTAAAACAGGCTTTCCCTTCGAAGAATATGAGAATTGTCCATCTAGTGACAAACTGGAAAAGCTTCCTTGCCTCCACACAAAGGACCACTACTTACCAAGACATGTATGAGCAGACCATCTCAACATTGTGTCCTAATGCTTTTTTTCCCCACTTGTATTTAAGGCAGGCCAAGTGTAGCTTCCTCAAGGAATTGCTCTTCAGAAAGTGAAAAATGCCCTGCACATAAAAGTGGAGAAAATGCTGATGAAACACAAGGGTAGGAGGATGGCTGTTACCTTTCAGGAAAGCTAGAAAACCCTGAGTCTGTGAGATGTTTGTTTTTGTACCTTTACACTTGGCTTATCTCTCTCTCTCTTTTGTGGGATTTCCATTGTGGGGGTTCTGTGTAATCTTGGCCTTTTGATTAAAGAAAGGCACACAGAATAATTAAGGTGGTGGTATCCTTTCACAGGGCCAAGGACATGTTCAGATCTGGAAAAAAACCAGGCATTAAAATTTGCCACTCCTGCCCCTTGACGTTGACATTTAATCAATCCAGTTCAATTCATATTCAAGTTTTCCGTATTTTGTGCAACCGTCTTATTCGGTTAAAATAACTGCTGCTGCAGCCTGGAGATGAGCACAGAAACAGAACCATTAGGCCTCACTAGCTGCAGCAGGACTCCGCTGAGCAACCTTGGCATCTGGAGAGAGGGTCCGGGCATACTCCTGTGTCCCTTTTTTCCGTTACATCAGGGCAGCCTATTATTTTGATATGGGTAATTACATCTGTGCCGGTATGGGAAAGCATATAAAATACAGTATAGGGAGTGCCCAGGAAAATGTCTCCTCTCTTCTTTCTCCTGCTCTTCCCCACCCAGCGTACATATTTTTGCACATTTCCGTGGTGAAAAGCCATGGGCAGTGATGCAGTGTCCTCTGCTTGCGTCCTGCTGTCATTTTCACTGTGAGCCTTGAGAATGCAGGCACTGTCTTCCATTTGAGTGTCAGCTGATGCTGTTCCAGCTGGCCTATGGATCTTCCTTCACACTGTCAGCTGGCCTGCAGAGAGGTTGCCAGGAGGCCCACTTTTATTTACCACTCCTTCCTCATAAACAGTTTGCCCGATGAGAATCCTCTGCCGTGTTCAGGGCTTCAGTGGCCGTCAGGTTGCTTTATAGCACATTCCTTGTCTGAAAATTACCACAGAAGGCCAGGAGCCCTTCCAAGACACCCATTTCTCTCACCCTAAATCAAGCAAGTTTTGTCAAGTGTGAGGGTTCCAGTGCATACAACATGCATATACAGACACAGAGACTTCTGCCTGCCTGCGTGCCTGCCTGCCTGCAAGGTTTTCCCCATTCGGTTAAACAGAAAGAGAAACATTGCCTGACCATCTTTCTGTCTGTATCCAACTGTTCCCTTCATCCCACCCCCACTAGGAATTAGAAGCAGTATGCATGTGTAAGAACTGCATGTCTGGCCCATTATGTGTATGAGTCCATCGATTAGGATTTATTACCCACGTAGTTTTACCTTTATTTAGCTGTTTACTGTAACCCTGAGAGATGGAGCATAAAGCACTTGTGTTTTGTCTTCACGAGAACTTTATAGAAATCCAGATTGCCATAGTTGTTAATCAGAGGGTTGGATTAGGACTGCGGAAACGCAGGTTCAAACTTCCATTTACCCATGAGGGTCACAGAGACTAGCCCAGAGTGATTAGACCTGTCTCAGCCTAATCTTGTGGTGCCGATAAATCTGGGGGAAGAGGAAGACATTTGAGCTCTTTGGAGGAAATTTAGTAGGGTATAAATGCAGTAGCTGTATCCCATATTGGAGTAAGCAAGTTTCTCCTTGATCATTAATTGAGAACAGTTCTCAGCACAATGAAATTGTGATGAAATGAGATCTAAAACTAGTTCTTAAAGCACTCTTATTGTTTACCTGTGTGTAACAGGTGTGTGGACTTGTCACTATGCCTCACACAAGCAAATTCAGTGTATTTGCATAAAATTGCATTCTGTATAACATACTCTGGTTTCTCTGGGCCTGGGGAGAGCCTTGGAGTTAGGCATAACACTAAGCCCCTTCTCCAAGTACCAGAAGTCTTACTTAGCAACCTCTCCAGTTTTAAAGGTCTTAGAAGGCATCACTCACATACTTTTAAAAGGTGTATTATCACACACAGCCTCAAGGTGGCTTGCAATAAATTGTAAAACAAGGAAAGAATAAATTGGTGTCTTCAGACCATAAAGTTTAAAGGTATTAATGAATGAAAGGGCTGAGCAGCTGATGTGTGGAGCATTCTCCCAACTGTTTGGTTTTAATTAAGTGTCTGCAGGGAGCTTTGAGTTTGAGTGGAAGGAAGTTAGCAAAGGGGTGGTTTTAACCCTTTCCTCTGATTTTTAAATCATGCCTTTTTAGCAGCTTATCTGCTGCAGCAAATAAGGAAGTTTCTGGGGAAGCAGAGAAATTTTGCATAGCGGGTCTACACTTGCACTATTTTTCGGTAGTTAGACCTTACAATCCAGACAATATCATTCTACCTGCTGTTGAAAATCTTAATTCTTTCTCTGGCTCCTTGCATCCCCTCCAGGCCTAAATATTATTGTTGCTATTTTAAAAAACACAGTGCAAGGTTTTAAAGTCTCCATTCCCACTGCCAATGAACTACTTTGAAGGGCGAACATAACCATATATTCTCAGCTGAAGCTCTGCACCCTGCTTTCTGAGTATAAGAGAGCCAATATGGAATATTGGTTAGAGTGTTGGGCTTTGGACTCAGGAGATCCAGAGTCTGTTTCCTGTTTGATCATGAAGGTCACTGGGTGAATTTGGGGCAGTCTCTAACTCTTGGCCTAACCTATGCTACAGGGTTGTTGTGAGGACAAAATGGAGAGAACTTTGTATGGCACCTTTGCTTCCCTGGAAGAGGAAAAATGGTGGAATATAAATGTAAGATGATGATGATGATGATGATGATGATGATGGACTTTATCTGCATTGGCAGGGTACCTATTTTTTAACATTTTCAAACTCAGGGCAGACCTCATTGTTTTGGTATGAAATAAGACCTGAGTTAGAAAAATCATGACTCCTGTTTGTCTTTACTTCTACCGTTTGTTTTCAGGTAGATATATTAGATACCTTATTGTCTCCTGACAACTATACTGAAATTGTAGATTTCTAAATTGTTTTCTGTGGAGCAGTAAGTGCTTCTTCACTAGAAAAGAGCACCACCACCATCACCGACTGGCCTAATGATTTGGGAAGTGTTTTCTCCAGACAGCTGGTGTGTCAAACATTGTCCTTGATGTTATTCCTTGGCTAAAGCAGCAAAACATGCAACCAGGCTACTTACCCACAAAATGATTGGACAGAATATTTCCTCCTCATTTTGCCTTCCATGTTGAGTTATACAAGGGATAGAGACATGCTTTATATGTTGCTAGGAATTACAGCTTTATATGTTGCTTTGAATGCTAGGAATTATGGCTTTATATGTTGCTTTGAATGCTAGGAAGTCTGGCTCGTTGGGGAGGGGAACTGCCCACTCCCTTCTTTCAGGTTGAAGCTCTACTTAGTTGCTTTAATTGAAAACAAAACAGTTGGGAAATGGTTGCATGCGTCTAGTCTGGCCTTGTCATTTCCTGGAAGCGGAATTATTCACCCATTTTGCACTTTTCTGTGCCTTTGCAGAATCTCTGCATCCATCCACCACTGATCAGTTTGCTCTTTTTGCAGAGGGGATAGAAGGGAGGCAGTACGAAGCTGGGAGTTAGTGGCTACTTGAAAGCTCCCTTCCTGTATTGTTTTCAGATTGGCTGCATCTTAAAGGATTTTGCAGATTGCCTACCCCATTGTCTACTAGATTAAGCATACCCCACTTTTAAGCATGGTTTTTTCACATTTTAATTTTCTTTATTTACACATTCAGCTTAGAAATCCATCTAAGTGTCTTGTGAAACATGTTCTAAATTATGCATGTGTGAGTCTTGAAAATGTGTATTTTTTCATATGCACAAAAATTACACCAAAACTTAAAACCAAGGCATAGGATCTTCACAGATCAATTTAATATTCCTCTCGATGAGCTATAATAATGTTCCTCCCTCTGATTTTTTTTCTTCTCAAATAAAGGCCAAATATGGTGATCCATGTATGTGATGAAGCAAAAAATCTGAAGGAAGATTTTGTTTGTCCACGAGATCTATTGGTTTCTGAAATGAAGTACTTTGCTGAATATCTATCAGTGGATGCCCAACGCTGGGAAGAGGTGGACATTTCAGTTCACTGTGACGTTCATATCTTTAACTGGTTGATAAGATATGTTAAAAGGAACACTAAGGAGAATGAGGTGCATGAAATACCTACTTTAGGTAAAATAAAATCTATTCCTTTTTGCCACAGATTCATTTTCCCAAAAGCTTGCCTTCTATTTCAAACCAAACCAAAAACCTGTATGCAAAATTGTTTTGCAAGGCAATATCCTTGCCCTAAATTCTAAAATCTCCTGTTTTTGGTTATAAAAGTCTATTCTAATAGTTGCAGAAACTGAAGCTGGCTGAAACATTTAATGAGATGTTACAACTTAGTTACTAACTTAGTGCCAGTGAACTAGTTTCTGATTTCTTAACTATAGTTAGGTAATCTGCAGGCTCCCTCTTTAGCTTCTTCCCTCCTGAGCATGCAGTCCTGCCTCCTTTTGGCAGGGCAATATGATTTCCAGCTAACCAAGATTTCTAACTGTAGTTAGAAGCGATGTGCTGCTATCTGTGGTTAGTTCAGAAAAAGGATGAAAGAAGGATAGAGGAAGGCCATGTAACAGAACAGAAGGGAGAAGAGAAAGAACACAGCATGCTCCTAATTTCCTAGTGAGGCTTCTTATTGCCTGCACCGTTCATAATGAAAAAGTTATTTCCCAGATAGTACTTTTGGCTTCAAACTGTAGAAATTCCAGGGAACCTTAAGACTTGGGGCCCATTTGAGGAGAAAATACATCATTGCCATTGTCTTTAAGTCTTGAAAGACTGGCTATCTCAAAGTCAGGGTTACCTAAATAGGTTTGTTTTGAAGGGACCCCCCCCTTTTTTTTTTTTTTTTGGCTTTGCTGCAATCACTCTGGGCATGACCCAGGAAAAATCCGTGGAAGAGTTAAACTCAAGATCAGTTCTGCTCCCCTTTGGAATCAGCAGGATTAACGAATGTGTAGCTCTGGCTCAGCTATACCCGATTTTCTTGTCAGCTGCACACACTCTATGTATTTCTTGATCAAGGATTTCCTTTAGAGAGAAACTTGTTTAAACTGTAAACTGCTTTGTATGTTGGGTTTTGAAGTCTGTGAGCCCTACTAGTTGTGGCAGTATCTCAACCTAAGTTTCCCAATCATGTGTAAAGAGGGAAAGGATGTGTGTGAGTGTGTGTTGTTTAGGACAAAAAGGGACATGGGGACGTGGTGGAGCAGTAAACTCAACTTTTGCACCGAGTTTACCTTCATCAAATTCTTTCCTTTCCAGGCACTGTTTCCCTCAGCTGTGCTCTGTTGGCAGTAACCTTGGCCATGAAGAAAGTGGGTGAGGGGAGAAGCTCATGGGAAGTAGGAAGTAAGAGAAGTGGGCGAGAGTTTGGCTCCCCCCGTTATGCCCATGTATGAACCTTCTTCATATGTGATTGGAGCACATAAAATTTGGATAGGGTCTGATTGGATAGGGTCTAGCCAACTGAAGTCTGAAGCTTCACTCAGAGTTTGTGGAGACCCTGATTTACCTTTTGAGTATTTACACCTTTTTTCCCCCTAGCAAAACACAATTTCACTTTCAAAGAGAAAATTTCCCTAAATTGAAAAGTTCAAACTCAAATTCCATACTTTCGTGCAATGTGTTTGTGGAAAGTGTTTGGAACATGTTAACTCAAACGTCAAATTTTTCATTTTATCTTTAGGCACAATATCACCATTCTCCAGGCTACTAATCATGGTTAGCTTTGCCCTCAATAGGTGGCTTTTAACTACTTTTAGCAGACAGCCCCAAGTCATGATATAACATTAGATTCCCCTGCCACCACCAAAGGGACCAAATCACACTCCCAAATGTTCTTCCATTCCATCTTAACGGAATGCGGAGTTTGTGATGCAAAAAATCTCTTGTAGTGTTTCCTTTTACAAGTAATATGAGATAAATATAGTTAATTTAGTAATCACGTTGTTTTCTTGCTTCTCTTTGTAGAGCCAAGCAATGTCATCTCAATTCTCATTTCCTCCGAGTTCCTGAAGATGGATTCTTTAGTGAGTATTCTCTGAGCCACTGAGGTTCTGAGCCACTGGGGTTCCATGTTCCAGTGGGATGGGAGCACACAGTCCACAAAGCTGGCCCATATGCCCTGATGTCCTGGTTGGTTGGTCTATTTCACCTCTGGGCTGTTGGCTGCAGTGTTTATATCAGAGGTGCTGGTCATCAAAGAAACAGAATCTTATTTGCTGGCTAGGAACTGCCTGTTTGTTTATCTAGCCTGTTGATCCGGAAGGTGATCCCTAAGTAGCATGCATAAAATAGAGTTGCATCAGGGCCGCTTCTACCACTTTGAACACATAGTATTGCTCACAGGTAGCATATCCTCATTCCACAGACCCAGTTCTCCCATCTTGGTGCCCCATTATTGTTGATAATCAGATGTTTATGTGCTCTTTTACAGCATGAGAGCCCTGGAAGGGTTACTTCTTCCCCAGGCCTGGGCAGCTCATCCCTCTAACTCATTCATTCTTGTACTAGAGTCTTAGTCACAGACAATTTTAGGATGATTTTATTCTTTTAATGTTTCATTTCTACTAGCTTAGCTATTTTGTAAGACCCTTTGTGAAGGTTTTTGGCCCTGAAAATGAATATTTAAATTAATAAAATGAGCCAGAAGAACCAGGTGCAGCAGTCAGCATCTTTCCTATGGAGAACCAACATAGGCTTAAGAGTCCAAGGAAGATCCTCATCTTAAGGAAATACTGAGCCTATTCCCATATTACTTAAGGTGCTCTTAGTGCATCCAGAGTGACAAAGGCAAAGCGTGCCCAGTTACAGCTGTGCCCTGTCTCGTCACGTCTGTGCCTTGGTGTAAAATACCAGTAGGAATGAAGAATGAAGGCATTCCTTACCAGGTAGGCTTTTATTCACCGCAAGTGAGTAGGTGAGCACCTTTTTACCTGCAGTCTCTTTATGCTCAGCAGCTGTACCTAAATGCTGCCATTGTTGAATTTGAGCTAAATAACTACGTGATGTCCAGTGGCAAGCATGTTATCTACCAGGGATTGGTTAATGCGCAGTCTGCTGAATCAGTATTCGGGGTCAGCTGGCCAGGGTGCATATTGCTTTGACAGAAGAAGAAAATTCTATAGTTTGGGCTCTGGTTCCCAACAAGCGATAGCTTTGTAGGAAGTGCAAAACCTCCATCAGTCGACACATTCACATACATCAAACCACACTACTGAGTAATGTCCCTGGCAAACCATTACCAGAAAGGCGTCAGTTCCTCTCAATCAGCATAATTAAAGGCATGCAGAAACTTGCTGTTGGGTATGTGTTACAGTGGAACCCATGGAATAAGTATTCTGCAAGCTTCAGCCTAATTTCAAAAGCCCTTTGCAAACTTTCAGAGGATGGAGAGGAAGGAGAGTCAGAGGGAGAAGAAGAGAAGAGGATGTAGACAAAGAAACATGAGGGTGGTCCAGCCTGTACCATCTCAGGAAACTACATTACTTTCTCAACAATAGCATTCCAAACTTTAGATCAGCCTGAGACTTTTCTCAGAATAACTTTCTAACCATAGTGCAAGATCTTTGTATATGACTAATAAGTGGATCACATCCATATTTATCTGTTTCCCTAGGTGGAAAAATGTATTCATTATTGCCACAAGAACATGAGTGCTATAATCGCGACGCCATGCAACATGAACTGCATCAGCGCTAACCTCTTAACTCGCATAGCAGATCTTTTTACACACAGTGAACTGGAAGAGGTAAAGGACAAGAGAGATAAATTCAAGAGGTACTTCCAAAAAGAATCCATCATTGCTTAGTATAAAACCTAATAATCTATCCTTTGTTTTATATAGTGTCATCCAGACCAGAGCAAAGCTGTTGGTTAATTCATTATGTCAGCTAACTGGTTTCTGAATTTTCTTGCAACATCTGCTAAGTGATGATTAAGACTGTAGAACGCACCAGGTTTGGGCATCAGTAGAATGACAAAAATGAGTTATTTCTTCTGCGTTCTAGTTCCCCTGATAGGTCCAGGCCTTGGTAGTGCCTTATGACGTATTCATATATTAAGGTGTCTTTTCCCTTTGTTTCTGAAAATCCGTATCTATTGAAGTATAATTTGACATTTTTGCTTCTTTCCTGGCTTAAAGAACTAGCAGAAGCTTGTTTTTTTAGGAGGCAGAGTGACAATGGAGAGTTTTGTGTTGTTTTTGTTTTAGGTTTTAATTTTATTTCTTATATATGTAAAATATACAAAACTTGGCAAACTTTAAAGAATAGTTTGAACCATTTCTGTGTGCCCAAGAGTGTTGAACTTCATAACTTCAGGCACTGGTCTGAATGCAGAGTCCCAGTCCCCTCACCTGGCATGGGAAGAATTCTCCTGAGGTCAGAAAATAGCCAGGGAGAGGAAGACAAGGGGTGTGCCATGCAGTGGGGAGGAGAGGAGGCTGGGGCCAATCGTATCCAAGTGGCATTCCAACTGCCTCTTCCGTGGTTCAGCGAGGTGTCTAAAAAAAAGCTGTCCAGATGAAGTTAAAGGTGCAGGGCAGTGGAAATTGCTGCAGTCATCGCTTGCGCCATGCATCAAGTGCAGGGATCATCGAATCGTGCCATAAACCACCTTTAAACCTCTAATAAACCACTTTTGACACAGGGAGCAGCTTGTGCTAGGATCTCCCCTTTCTTTTCTAATCTGCTGAGCCTTTTTTCTCCTCTTTTTCGCTTTCCCTAAGTTTCTGGGCACAACCAGATTAGTTCTTTGGGTCCCACAATCAGCTGTGCAGCCCTCTCTTGGTCTTAGCAAGGCACTGTGACCTGTTCATCAAGCAGTGCAGAGTAAGAATGGAAAAATGCTTTTGGAAAATTTCTTGCTGCTGCTTGTAGATGGAGTTGTTGACACCAAACATCTGTTCCAACGAAGCCAAGTTTAGATTACATGAGGCTTAGCTGGTCGTTCATTTTTATAACTAGTTTTTGCTTGCCACTGACAGCAAACTTTTCTGTAAGAAGATAGAGCGATTATTTGATCCAGAGTACCAGAGTCCCGACTCTCAGGGAAGTGCAGCAACCCTGTACAGGTACAGCACAAGCATCTTATTTGTCCCACCTTGGCAAATACCTCCTTTGTCATTGTCAAACTTTCAGGGTAACTTTGTTCTTGAATAGGTGCTGTTTATGTAAGAAACTTCTGATTAAAGACACTGAAAGAAGGATCCCATGTGTTCCAGGGAAGATCAGTGTAGATCAGCATGGAAATATTATCTATGTCCACATAAGGTACTTCATAAATCACAATGTAATAAAACTTTTACAGTGTGTCTCTGTGGAATCTTTTCAATATGTGCACAGGCAGCTTTTTAAATTAGTGATTGAGCTCTTTGTCTGTTACAGGTCTTCAAAACCTCAATCCAGTGCTCAGTCCTCTAGGCAACAATATTAAATATGCATCCTCTGACTAAGTGTCAAGTAGAGCTTAATTAGCAAAATCTGTTTTGCAGATCACTAGTACCCACATCGCAGCAATCATTTAAAACTTATGCAGATGGCAGTATAATATTTATTTGACAAACAACAGTGTTTATTGTCAGTATACTGTTTGTTGTTTGTCCAATTCTTAAAAGGTGGGGTGATTAGGAATTATTTTAAAAGCCTATGTAAAATGTCCCATTAGGATGGGTAAGAACATGACATTCCCGGCTTTCCAACAGGCTTAATGCCTAATCAGGAAAGGAAAGGAGTTTGTTTGTGATGCACCTGCCACCACAGTTCTTTTTAAATACCATTTACTAACCACAATTAGCAGTAAGTAGTTTGGCTTCCTAAAATAAGATTACTAAGTTTTGAGATACTATTCAGTGATAAGTAACAGACATGATCTGTGTTGAGTAAATTTGGTGAACTGTTCTAGTAATGTTCAGAATGGACCTCCTCAGACTTGAATCTCATCAATATGACATTCTGGTGTTTTATAACTTACATAGATGTTTTAGAGAATATGCTGTAAAATACATTATTTTAACTAGGGCTGTCCATGATTACATAAATCTTTTTCAGTCCAAGTAATGAACTGATTCATTTGAAATAGATCTGAATATGAGGAAAAGACATAGTTTCAAAGGAAAAAATATGCCCCCAAATTATTATTAGAGTACCTGTTTGCTGCAGCAACCATAATCTTGGAACAGGCATTCTCCGTTCTCCCAGTCAGGAAGGAATGCTTCTTCAAAGATAGTATTCAGAAGGTATTTTTGGTATTACATGGTCTTTGATAACTGCCTCCCATTCAGCTGTGCAACTTTCTATACAATAGGCTAAATACTGCATCCTTTGTTTTAAAGCTGATATGCACTGTAACTTTATTGGTGAAGGGAAAGTGGGAAAATTAATTTCCTGCAGAAATTACCAGAGGTTTCCAGTGGGAATTGAGAACTAATATATTTCACTCTGGTCTGCCTTACTACTTATTCCTCTCTATGTACAGAGATAAATCTTGGGATATCCATGAGTACTTGCTAAGTCTTTTTGAAGAACTAAAATCTTGGCGAGATGTATACTGGCGCCTTTGGGGAACTGTCAATTGGCTGACCTGTTCAAGATGCAATCAAGTGAGTATTTTTGGGTCCTTCTGCACACTTTTGACTGTCCTGAAGCTTATAAAGTAGCAGCTTTCATGCTTTTGTAGAATTAAGTATTCAGATATTCAGGGTACAATCTCCTCACTGTGATATTCCCCACCCTGTGTAAGAGCTACAACAGGTAGCTTGTACATAAGTACAGTTACTGACTATAAAGCATCCCTATGAACTGGCATTAAGTCCTTTTTAAAATGGCAATTACATTTGCTTCTATTGTATCTCCCTCTCAGACTTTCTTGTGCACTGAATTCTCACATTGCCAGTATCACCCTCAGCTGGTTCTCTACCCTGCTATGACAAGTGTCCGTGGTTCAACTGGCATGGGAATATATCCCTGTTGCAACCAAAAGGTTCTTAGGTTTGATCCGGCTCCTCTTCTGAAAGTACGTATGGCTTCTTCTGGCAATTGTGAGCCAGGTGGATAACTAGCAAAAGTGTGGGGTGTTTCTCCTCCACCCCGATGTTTTGGTTCCCACTACATAATTGAATGAGTTGAAGTAGGTTGAGTAAAAGTAGATGGTGCCAGTGCAGTATGCAGATTAGCTGCTCTGTGCCTCTGTGCAGATGCATCTCCTGGGGTGCCATTGTTCCTGACTAGGGAATGCTGGGAGTTGTAGGCGATTTCCCTGTCTAAACATAGCTAGGATTCCATCCTTAATCACGATTGGGCATTGAATCCAATACACAAACTAGAAAGGGCCACAAGTTGAAATCTGAAGTGATGGTTTAAAGTGGGTTTGCATGCCATTGTGTTGTGATTATGACCCCATAAAGTGATTCACTGGGAATCACTTTGTCTTTTTTTTTAAATGGAAGGGATGCAAAGTGCGGGATCACATGATTGGCTTGCCTGCTGGAGGTGAAGGTGGGGATGCTGTGCCCTATAAGACTGCTAAAATATTGAATGATCTGATTCAGCACAGAAATGTCATTGTTGTGCCTTTTTCAAAAGACCAAAATAGGTAAGAAAACAAGAATAGATCAGTATGTCTCTGCGTGAAATAATTTCAGAGAGGTGCCATCAGCTAAGTAGGCATCTCTGGAATCCATAAAATTAACACCCATCATGTACCTGAAATGTTTTTTTCTTCCAAGCGATTCTGGAATTGGACTGAGTGATGAGAAGGGGATTGAATGTGATGTGCTGTTGGAACCAAATGCACCATGGGGCCCCAAAACAGGAGAAATTAATGCTGTGAGTCATTATTTTTTCCTCCTCTTTTCTGCTCTAGATGACTATATTTCAGAGTGAGTAAATCTGCAAGCAGGATACAGGATTCCCTGGGTAGAGCTGTCCTATATGTATGTTAATTTTCAGAACTGTAAATGTATTCCAAAACATCTCTAAACTGAAAAGAGGTCTGAGTCCCTTATTCCACTCTTGCCCAAGTTGGTGCACATTTAATACCAAGCCGTAAGCCCTGGGCTCACTTTTATCCTCTATCTCATAATCCACTTTAATTGATTGCTTTCAGAGAAACCACAGTTTACTGGTTCAGATGCGTGGGAACCATCATTTGCCATTATAGTGGGAAGTATATTGCCTTGAGAGGCTGCCCTCCTTAAAGGTGACCTGCAAATAATGTTAGGCAGATAGATGTATGGCTAAAATAGGATGGACTGTCTTAAGGAAAGTGGGGTGAAAGTGGAAGGAAAATATGAGCTTCGGTAATGTAATGTCAAACCATGGTTGAGTGTTGCAGACTCTGGTATTGTTTCAGCTGCAAACTGGATCTTAATACCAGTGGGTTGTTGAAGGTGATGGCAGGATGAAGTTTGGAACACGTCCTTCCCATGTGTATCCTGCATCCTGTTGCTATGCACAACTGCATGATTCATGCACCTAATGATCAGGCAGTTTGGAATAAATGTTTAAAAAACACCTGGTAGCAGATGAGCAGTTTGTCTCTTCCCCCAGTTAAGCAACACTGAATATGCTTGCCCTCATCAGAAGCATCATGTATACTTCAAGCAACAGTTCAGGTCTCTTTTTGTTGCTCTTGTGGCCTTTAGAAGTGCTGTCAGGAATCCTGTCACGATCCCTGATACTCATTTCTGCCCGTGTTGGTTTTCTTTTTCTTCCCTAGTTCCTTTCTTTGAAAAACTGGACCCTCCAGCTGGTACGTTTACCCTACTTATCCTTGTTCAGTGTGGTGACATTTTTGTGTTTTAAACGTTATGTGTCTTTTTCACTCGTGCTGCGTCGAGTGATTCTTTGGCACAGCCACCCACGCAGTCAGATGTGTCTGGGTGTGGCTTAGAGTGCTGGCCTGACCATTACACTGCGGTGTGTAAGTGTCAGGCAAGGGTTCAGCTGATAACGCGGAGGCACCATGCGGCTCTCCTGCTGAAGCAATTCGCATCTTCCCACAAGAGAGAGGTGGAAGATTCTACGCTTGATCCACATTTGAAGTTTCTCTGAGCTCTGCAGAAGAACAAAGGATGAACTTGCATGCCATTTGGGTAGCGGGTGGGTCAGGTCAGGGCCTCCTCTAGCATCCTGAGGCATCTTTTGGGTTTTGGGGGGTTTAACTGGGGGCTGGTGCACACCTGACAAGTCTTAAAGGTAGTGTAAACGTTCTCGCCAGCCCTTTGATTGGAAAGCTGATTACACTTCTGACTTGGCCATGTATAGGATGAGAACTTGGCTGGGACCTAAACTGCAGCTGGGCAGATAACAGAGTTTAATGTGCAATATCTCACTGGGCAGGAGCAAATTTTGTTTTATTCAGAATGTTTTTCAGCTCTTAATGAGTATTTAAGATTGTTAGATGTATTTTTAAAATATGGAGAGCTATGTATAATTCTGTCTAATAAAGCAAATGAATAAAAATGATACCAGTTGGTTGGATCCATTCCTGTCTTAGTTCTCAGACAGAAACCGCCTTAGATGCCCTGCTGAATGACTTGCTCTGAACAGTGCAACCCTGTTGGTTCTTCTGGCCCCGTTGGTAGCCTTCCCAGTTTTGCTTCTCTTTTAAGCTTTGGCGTGTTTTGGGGGTGGTGGGGAGTGGGAGGAGAACATCCTGAGGTCTCTTGAAGAGCAGTCTTTGTAACACTTTTTTCCTTAATAATGATAGAAACAACAATTGCTGCTTTCGGAGGATGATGAATACACCACTGGCTCTGAGGTCACAGAAGATGAAGTAGGCGATGAGGAAGAAATGTGCAAGAAACCAAGTATGCTCTACTCTGTGACATTGCAGTTGGTTACTGCTAGCTGTTAGGAACTGGCATGTAAGGGAGAAGATTGACCTGTTGGAAAATAAAGCTTGTTATAAGCTGACGTAGGCCGAGGAAGTAATGTGCTTCCTGAGCAATGCAGAATTAGAAATTAAGTTGGGTGGATGTGCTTGAGAGGCAGGGAGCATGAGAAGCACTGAATTACTTTGTTTCCACATAGCCAGTATCAAATTTAAAAGGTTCCTTATCCATTCACCAGTTCTTCTGGGTAAACACTGGCTCACTTAGATCCCTGGTGTTTGCTGCTTGCCAAGGGATTCCACTTGCCTTAAATCAGATGTGGGTGCATGTGGGCTTGTGCTCTCATCTTGTATATCAGCCTTTAGTCTCTGCTTTTATTGTGTTGCATTGGAGTTTTTTAGGAAGATGTGTCTTTATTTTGGCTGTTGGGCTTTGAAAGAGTTATGAACCTGAGAGGATTCTTGAACTTTCTGTGAGCAGCAAGAGAGAGGTTTTGAAAGGAAGAGTACAGGAATCATAGAATAGTACAGATGGGAGGAGCCATGAAGGCCATCGGGTCCAACTCAGCCCACTCAACTGTGGAGCCAGCTGAGTGACTTTGGGCGAGTGACAGACTCTCAGCTCAACGTATCTCACAGGGCAGAATGGAGCATAAGACGGAGAGCAGGAAGAGGAGAATGTTGTACTGCTTTGAGTTCTTTGTAAGAGAAAAGGCAGGATATAAATATGGCAAATAGAATGAGTGTGTATCACAACGTTGCTCAGAAGCTTGGCCACGACAGCCTCTTACACAGGTGCAGTTTGCACTTTTGCTGACCTCAGCCTGGGCCCTTATCTAATAGGTCCATTCTGCCTTTTTTTCTGGGAGCATCCCTACGGGAGCAAAAGTGCTAAATAGGGTGGAATGCGAGGTTACTGGCCTTCATGGTCATGAAAGTCAATGGCTTGTGCATCTTCTCTGTTGTAACAGAATCAAAAGAGTTGTTCTTCACTGTGCAGACAGCCCCAGGCAAAAGCAAGTGACATCCCGATCTTCAAGGTAAAGCCTTGAAAAAGTAACCTGTGAGGGTAGCTTTGGATAGACCTTGTCAAGAAATATGACGCCTTCTCACCTGGAAGTTGAATCAATAGGTCACACCTGTGGATCTGTGGATTTCTACCTGCTTGCACCTTCAGTGCAACCACTTTTCCTGGTGGGGTAGCAGGACTATTCTGCTCGTAGAGTTTAAGGTTCTTGAGTTTTCTGATGGACAAACTGAGTGCCTAGGGTGCTGTGATAAGGCATTTTGGGATCTTGAGCCAAGAGAGACCATGTACATGTGTGACACGTTTACCTTCTTTGCCTCTCTTTGTGATTCTTCCTTGGAGCAGTCTCCAAGGCGAGACCTTGACCTCAGGCTTATTTAAACTTCATAGGGCCCAAAGGCCTTAAGCTTATCCCTTCTGTCGCTGTCTTTGCATATATCAGCCTGACAAAGCTGAAGTGACGATCCTGCTGTGCCCTAATCCAGGTACCTGGCAGGGTAGTTCATACTTGTGGCTGGTTTCCAGGTGATCGTGACCAACCAGGGGCCTTTTATTGATTTGTTTATATTACATTTGCATTGTGCCTTTACACTAAAATAGGCAATCAAATTATAATTAAAACATAAAACACCATCCATTAAAGTACAGCTCTTTGTGTTCCTTTTTCTATAAAACGTCAAATATATCTGCTATATTGGAAGTTATTTTATTTTCTGATCTTTCTCCTAAAATCACTCTAAAACAATCAATTCTGGCCCTCACAGGGCCTACTTTTGCTATTGATACCTGAGGTTCCCCCACTATGCACGGTAGAAAGCAGGGACTTTCTTAGTGGTGGCATCCAGACTGTGCAATAACCAGGCTCCATCACTGCCTGCCTTTCCAACAGGTAGCAAGGATTTGTTTTTGCTCTACTTTGCTTTTAATGAAAGTAAATCTTTCTGTAAGATGTTTCATTACTGTATGATGCACCTTGAGTACAGTGCCTGTAGAAAGCTGGGACATAAATTACCAAAAGCCTACTTCGCAGGGTTCTTGTGAAGACAAAAGTTACTTTACTGCTGAACATATAGAAGTCATAAATAATTCCATACCATTCTGGTTGGTTGGAAAGCCACTTACATGTGGATACTTGCCCTACACAGATAGGGCAGAGTCTGATCAGTCACTATTTCCAGAATGATGCTTGCTTGTTCTGTAGTTATACCGAAAGGAGAGAACTGCTTCAGATTCTCAGCTTTAGCTTATGTTTCAGTTCACTGCTGTTAGTTGGAGAGGAAAAGGGGAGCTGCACAAGGTTCTACATGGATGATTTGTGCCTATTGCTAAGCAGCCTTTCTAATTAGCAGGAAGAAAAGAGAGGCCAAAGAAATTTATCAAACATCCAAAGAAACAAGTGTCTTCACCCAGTGTCCAAAAGAAAGAAAAGACCCTGGAGAAGGTAAATCTGAGATACCAAAATATCACCTAAACTTAGCCTGAACAAAAGTCTTATGGTTTCTTACGTCTTTGTCAGTTTATGAAGAACAGCATGAATTCATGCTGAACAGCATGATTTTATTTTCAGCATGATTCTGAAACTCAAACTGCGCAAGGTGGGCGCCTCTTGGCTGTTAATCCAGACTAAATTGCTGTACGTCATGAGCCAGAAACAATCCTCTGTTTCCAGGAATTGGCTTCCCAACTGCTGCGCAGTCCATTGTAATTTTGGGAGGGAAAAATAATGCCTTGAGAAGAATCCTGTCTGCTTGGCAGCTTGCAAATTCTAAATAAAATTAATCCAAGAAATTCCAGAAGATCCCTTTTATCCTATTCTTATCTCTTTGCCCTTTTTTTGACAGTCTAATTCTCGAGACGTATCTCCTTTTATGTAAGTATTTTGCTAAATTTTCAAGAAAAGTCCACTACAGTGGGAGCCGATGTGAATTTAGAACACTTTGAATGGCTGTAATTACTTTGTTAAATAAGTAAATTTTAAGTTAGTAATTTTTTCACCAGGATAGAGGCTTCTCCGTTGCTATCGGCATGATAGCTCAATTGAACCTGCACATTCAGAAGCGACAGAGTCAGTCAATTCTGATCATCACAGCTTCTGTTCTCTGGAAGGCTGCAGGAGTCCTGTATACCCAGGACCGGGCTGTTAAAAAGCTGCTTCCAGGATAAATCCTTCCTTTCCATCTTTGGGCTGTTTTACGCCATAATGGCAAGCCAGTGCTCCCAGAGCAAAACCTGTGCTTATGCTGTAATCCTGTAATCTGCTCAACTAGTTGACTCGCTCATTAGTAAAAACCATCATTAGCCAGTAGCATCTGAACAGGATTTCAAGCCAGCTTTTAATTATGGCTTGAAAGGAAAGCATAGGCCACAGTTTGCAGCTTTGGAGAAGTTGGCAAAATAAATTTACTGTGTGGGGGAAGGGAGTCCACATAAATTGATCTTCATTTCCGCAGCACCAAGCCATGATTTGGGGGTTCCACTGCTTTTGTCCCCATATCCAGAGATTCTTGCACTTTGGGTCTCAAGCGAGCATAGCTGGCTGCAGTGGCCACTCCTATTCTAAAACAAAATAGCACAGGTGGCTTGTCTGCATTTGATTTTTTTCTCATGGCTTCTCTGCTTTTTAAATAGTGTGAGCACGCAATACAGTAAGTGGGATGCTTCCAGATCACTTAGATTCAATCAAGATGCTCAAAGAGAAGAAGGTAGGCTATTCTTTTCAAAATACTTTTGACACTTCTGCAGTTAAGTTAGGGGACTTATGAAAACTGTATTCTGCAACCATATAGAAGTGCAAATGAGCAGAATTCCATAAGGCAGAAACAGAATCTGTAGTACTTTTCCCCCTCCCCCATAATGATGGAATTAAATAGACCTCTGATGTCACTCCTGCCATGAATCCCCAGTGGCATCAACTGTAGAGAGTTGGAGCTATTTGCAAAGAAGCTTCCCAGTTCATGTAGGAAGCGTGTCAGTCAGATGTGACTGCCCTCTTTGCAGGTGCAATGGACAGAAGCTATAATGTCGCTACTGCTAACAGTCCTGCAAACGTGGCACCAGAGTTGCCTCCTTGGTTCATCTGCTGCCGTTCTGTGTTTTTACAGATCAGCGGAGGATGGTCGAGATCACTGGGCACCTAGTAAAAATGAGGCTGGGGGAACTCGACTCGTCAAAATCAAAAGAAAACAAAGAAGTGAGTGGTCGTGTTGTGCTTTTGCTAATATCATATGGCTGACTAGGTCTGGCCAAGCATTTGACCTTCCTCACAGGCTTGTTGTGCGGGGAAGACTAAGAGGAGGAGGAGAATTGTGTAAGAGAGAACTGACGATGTATCATATGAGAGAGAGAACCTTGCCCGAGTCACTGCTCCAGCCTTGCCTTCTGCCCATCAGCCCCGGCTGGGGTCGTGCCTGGGTCACTTTGCTGTACCAGCTGCGCCTGTACGAGTCAGCTCCACAGTGGAGGTTCTCTGTTGCCTCTTCTCTTGAGTCACTTCTCTAGGGCTGCCTGCCTCTGGTCAGTGGCCGGTGCTCGAATACCTTCTCTTGCACATCTGCAGTAAAGGTGGATCACTCTCACTCTTTTGCCCTAGTCTAGCCCTTTTGAGCGAGCAGGCTTCCCACTTGACCTCGAGAGGGATGAGAATGCACGGCTGCTTTCGCAATGCTGGAAAGGGCCTCTTTAGGCTTGCGGTGGCCATTTCAGAAGGAAAACCCTTTGTTAATGGGAACGTCGTGAGTGCTGCTCCCCTTGGTCCTTGGATGCAAAAGCCCCTTTCCGCAACTGCGTGAGGACCCCGTGGGAAAAGTTGGGAGACACTCATCTTTCACCCACGTGTCTGGCTGAGCGCTAGCCGAGCAGGAGCAGGCGCTCTGGGCCACTGTTGCTGCTGCTCGCCCAAGGGAGAAGGCCGAGGCTGCCACGTGGGTGTGCCGCCTCCTGCCAAGTGCCGTGTCCTCCGGCTCCTTCCCAGCCGCTCCGTTCCCCTGCCAGCTGAGCGTCTCTGTGCGGTCCCCGTCCAGTCAACTCTGGGTGGCGCAAAGGTCAGCCAGGCCTTATAGGCAGGCAGAAGGCACCCTGGGAGACACTCAAGTGGCCCTTGTCGTTTTTCAGACAGCAGCTTACGGACTTGTGCGTTGTGCCCACTTCTCCACGAGTGTGCTGTCCTTCCCACGCACCCACGCACTCCGCAGTCTTCCTGCTTTCGGAGACATAGCACTTGGTGCCAAACACACGAGGGTCTAGAATGGTCCTTCAGCCTCCAGTCTGTGCAGCAAAATAAAAACACATGGTGTCCTGCACCAGCAGGGCGCTGGACTCGATGGCCTTCATGGCCCCCTCCAGCTCTACAATTCTGTGATTCTATGAAATAACAACAGTGAGAGCTTTGCTCGGGTTGAAGAGAGATCCGGAAACAAAGCTTTGTGCCCACCCAGTCCACAAGAGACTTTTTCTTTCCTCTTAGTAGAAACATGGTGGAAATTTGCTGAGATGCAGATGTTACCTGTGTTGCACAACCAGAAAGGGAGCGTTTATGCCAGAGATGCTGCTCAAGGCCTTCACTGCTGAGGACCTTTTCTCTGCTCCTTCTCTTGGCTCTTTCTGGTGCCTGGGCAAGATAAATGCTGGTATCAGATCTTGCAGTCCAGTGAAAGTGGCTGCTCGGATACACTGGGATGGCTGGAGGTGGTGGGGTACCAACCAGAGTTTCCACTTTGCCTCACACCCTTGCAGCAGAGCTACGTACTTAGCCAGACTGGGCTGCTCATTGGCAAGCCCAGCCGCCCCACCTGCGTTCTGTTACGTGCAGCCAGAATAGAAGGCTAGTTTGTACAATCCTGATTTGGCTTCTGTGGTTTGCAGTCTGCAGCTGGAATTTATGCAAGGCTTGAAGCTCAGATCAGGGCATCAGCACAAGGCAACACTCGCCAGAACATCCCAGAAAAAAATACAAGGTAAACTATTAAGTGGAAATAGGAGGGCAGGGAGAGAGAAGGAAACAGTACATCTTGCTAACCTGATCAAGCTGTCATTTCCTACAAGGATTTAGTCAAGGAATAAATTTTTCCTAACAAGGTATCTCTACACTGGCATAAAAATATATCCCAGAACATCTGTATGTACATTGGGTGCCGCCTGCATTCTTTCCCCAGAGCCTGTATCTGATTTAAGGCTCCATGTACAGGCCCATTGTGAAAACCTGGTACCAGTGGCTGGTTTTCATTCATTATGCCTTGCTCACTTTGCTCTACCCTAAACGTCTTGTTGGGGTGTGTGGATTTTGGGGGGCAAAGTTGTCTAGGATGTAGCCTGTAATGCTCTAGACTAAATAACAACTTTTCTTCTCCTCCTTCCTCCCCGTCAACTCTCATCTTTTTGATTTATAATATGCATACTTTAATAGGCTTGCCAGCTACTGAGGTGCTACAAGACCTCTTTGCTTTTACTGCTGACAACACGCTGTTGTGAACCGCCCAGAGAGCTTCAGCTGTTGAGTGGCATAGGACATAAATAAAATGGCTCCCCCTCATGTTGCTTAAAAATGTCACTGGTGTGTTATAGATGGGAACTTCCTCTGTTTTTACAGAATGTGCTACGTAATCATGTGGAGTCAGTGATAATAATATGCAAAATAAAGCTGTTCCATGAAGTCTCAAATGGACTGTTTTGTAATTAGCCATTAATACTGTGATGATTTTGTTGCTGTAAAGTTTTTTAATATAAGATCTTCTAACATATTTCTGCACATCTAGGACCAAAACCCGCTTTGGCCAAGGCCGTCTGACATAAATCCAAACGTGCATATCTCCCAAACTGAAGCCAAAGCACTTCTTTGCCTCTTGCAACTGTGCTGGAGCCCAAACGCTGGATGTACCTCTTGCTAAAGATTTTAAGTGACTTATTTATTACTGTATGCCATATAAATTATTCTGTTCTAATAAGTGAATGCAGATTTTCCTTCTACATTTAAGTTTGTAAGTATACCATTTCTTATATTAAACCACATGCATTTTCCCTGAAGTGTTTATGTGAACCTGCAAAACAACTTTAAAACCCTCATTTTATTGACGGGTGGAAAGAGTGGTGCTAACAAACTGATGGACTTTCTATACAGATGCAACTGAATTTTGAGCTGGGATCAAGCCTCTGTTCTACCCGTTATCTGCGTGGTTTTGGGTGTGTCTTCTGCTGCATTAGGATGGCTGAAACAGTTCTTGCTTCTGTGGATTTGGAAGTGGGCAGCTCTTAAGGAGATGGGATGCCTCTGCATTTACGTTTAGGCTGACACCAAAACAGACAACTCCCATACACGTCTTGTTTTCTTGTCACAGGCGAACATCTGACTTGAGGACAATCGCCCAGAGTGAATGTGCCTTGTCAGCAAGCTTCACACTGTACTTGACACAGCGATGCTGTAATTGGGTGAGGGAGAATATACCCTCATACCCTCCACAACTTTCTGTGAGTACAAATAACCCTGCAGCTGCCTCCTGCATTGAACATGAGTCAAATGCAGGTGGGAAGGGCAAGGCCAAAAGTACATCAAGCCCAAAGAACTCAATGCAGCCACTGAAACATGATAGATTTGGTTGGAAGCACGTCTGAAGACCTGGGTCTGAAACAGAATGAGGAGACTGGTCAAAATACAGTTGAGGGAGATGTGTGCTTTGCAAGAAGACTGCCTGTAGGCTGTTTGCTTGTGTTCTGTGGCCCTAGCTGATTGGGTGGCGTTTTGGATGCCAGATACGGAAGCATCACTAATATTACTGAATGTAGAGTTTGCTGCAATTGTGAGTGTGATGCATTTAGAACCAGGCTGTGTGGAGCTGAGAAGATAACTCGCCTGTGTCTAGGCACATTGGGCTTTTTATGCGTATGTATCTCTTGTTTGGTAAAAAGAAATCTTGTAGGAAGTAAATCCGTCCTTTTCATTAGAAATGGGGGAAGGCACGATGCAGGCAGGAAATGTATGCAAAAGCTGAACATTTCAAATTTCTACTCATGGATCATACTTGGAAAGAAACTAATGAGTGATAACACGCTTCCACTCAGGTATTTCTCTCCTACAACCCCCTTCCCCCACTTTTTAAAGGGTGTATTGCAAAAGCAGCTGAATTGCCTTCAAAATGAATGATCCAGATGCTCAAGCTTGCCTACTGAACTTGGCAATTAAGGCAGTGGACTGAAAGGAGGATGGTGCAGTTCCTTTTGAAATAGCACCAGTTATGTGTGGACTTCTCTTCCGATCTGTGATGGTGTCTCCCCTCCCTTCCCACCACTTCTTTTGCCACATCTCTCCGAGAGCTCTTCAAAGAAAGCGGTGAAAGCACCCACCAAAAACAGCATTCAAGCAAGGCTTGGGGCTGCCTACCATGGAAGAGCTAGTTGGAACTTTGAACAAGGTTTGCAATGTCGGATATCAAAAGCTGAAATATACTGCAGAAGTGGAGCTGCTGAAGCTGAAGCATCTTCTGTGTTTCATAATCTGTATGTGACTGTGGATGCTGTGCAGGCTGTCATCTTCAGTTTTTGCTCCCTGCATTGTTAAATCTCGGACTCGTGGAGCCTGCACAAATTGCCAAATGCGTGTCCTTATAAGCATGTATACATTTTCCAATTCAGACCCCAGGAATAGGTCTAGCAAGATCCTCTACCTGAGACCGTAGAGTGATGTGGCTCGGTGCTCTGATTTGGGCGTGCAATACCATTTTGTGCACAATTTTCACTGTGGTTTCACATAATGTCAGGACTGGATTGTGACTTGGGTGATTCGGACTGGTTTGTGAGAAACTTGCTCTCAGTCTGAGAGCACAAGCACAAACCTTATGTGATGTCACAGAGCTCTGGCTTTATAATAGCTTGTGCTGCCACAGTAAGAAGTTGTGGACAAGGCTGAAAATGAGAGCCCCCTTTTAAGAAACGTTTGTAAGAAATGTTTTTACCAAGTATTTAATGTTACTCAGCAAAAGAGTCCAAACTGCATGTTTACATTTTACTAGAATTTTTCATACCTAAGCAAAAGCCAACCCTCATGGTCCTGTGTGTTAAAAATTAATCTGGAATTCATCACAATAATAATGGAAATAGAAGTGCTGTTTATTACATGCCAAAATGAATCATATTAAAATTAATCTTTATGTACGCATCTCATATAGCAGAAAGACCTGTTCAATTAGTAATGGTACTTTATGTGTACATTGTCTTCTGTCTTTTATCAGTTTCATCTGGGATTCTTGTTGCATTGAAATAAATGATGCATTAATAAAACTGTTGTGTTGCTATATATACCCAGAGGGTGTGCTGATACACACACCCTCCATACTCTGATATGGAGGCTGCACAGATGGCTTATAATTAAGTACATTTAAGAGTTTGCAGCACTGTCTAGGGTGGCCTCTGTGAAACTTCATATGCATTCCAGTTTTTAGTTGCATGCAACCATTTTCTAATTTTAAATATAGCACTCCATACAAATGTTTTGCCTCTTTTGTGGAGGCCCTGCCTTCTAACCGTGGTGTGTGGGTGGGGGAGGGTTCCCTACAAGTGACAGCTGTCCCTCTCCCACCCCTGGAAAAAGCAGCTTGCACTCCTGCCAGTCATGGAGCAAACGAGGCTTCATCACGGCCAGGAGCACCAGCCTGTTGGAACTTGGGTGCAGTGGTCATTTTTCTCCTATGCTTCAAATAGGCAGCTCGTCTTTATGCTTTTGTGGTGCCACATGATGTTTCTGCATTTGCTTCCACCTTTAATGAAACAAGCTAAATTTTTAACGGAAAAACTGCCCTGGAAGAGAAGTTTCCTGGAAGTGATTGCATATAAGACAGGTTCATTTTCCACTGATTGTTTCCTTCTTGTAAAGAGCAATTACATGGAAAAGGAAGGAGGAGCAACTTACATCTATTTCTGGAAACAGAGGAGTAGGTTCACCTTTCAGGGCTGGGGACAACCCACAAAGGAAGGAGAAAACAAGCCAGTTATTGTTGAACTGTGTAGTTCAACATAGCTGAGGTAGATCAGACCTGTCTCCTACCAGGTTTGGATGGTGCCGGTTAGCTTCTCTCTCATGTAAAATAAATATTTAAGTTTCCTTTAAAGATGAAGCCCTCTCAAGGCAATATACGTGATTAAAACTACAAGTAAAGTGGATAAAAACAGCTTTTTACTTGCTTGCTTAAGAGTACTGCATTATTTTATAGGAGGAATTCCTTTTGTTAGTCACAAAAGTGTCTTCTAGGTATGAGAAACGGTAAAAGAATTGTATCTTTTTAAAAAGGGCCTAAGCAGAGCTATTTTATAGAGGAACCATTTTTTGAGAAAAGGATTGACACGTACCACTTGGAAAACTAAGAAGACTTAGTCCGTTAGGGTGAGGTAACTGGGGTGAGGTGACTTAACTGCAAAGGTCCCCAGCTGAAGCAGAAGAGGCAGAAAGGTGGTGAAATTAGAGGTTTTGCCAATATTCCAAGAAGAGGTGTCACAAGCAGACTGTTCACCTGATAGTAACCAGCCAATGGTGAAGGGGGAGGGGGGTAGTGTTGAGCATCGGGAAAAGGAATGTATATAAACCTATGTATACCATGCAGAAATTGCTCTTTGTTCCTTGTACAACTGGGGACTCTGAGCCAGCCTTTGCAAATGCTTCAATAAACTTTGCTTGCATTTACTTAGATTCCGTCTCAGCGAGGTTTGTATCTCACACAGGCATCTTAGAAAACAAAAATCACTGGAAGATTTGTCTTTTTTCCTGAAACTCTTGCAACTGGATCAGAAACATTTAGTTTGTCACTTATTGTGGAACCATCTTTCTAAACGCTGCATCTGCAGGGTAAATTATAACTGTTTTACAGTATCTGGCAATGGTGCATATGAAGCCCCCATAGCTGTATTACAACTATACCAACTGGAGAAACGTTCTTTAAAGGCAGGTTGCTTCCCTGATCGTGGAATAGGATTTCTTGCAGAGACCTGCTGTGAAGACAGCCGTGAGCCACTGCATGCCCTGGCAACATTGACAGCTGCAATAGAGTCATGAGGCTTGCTGTGGCCACTGCAGATCCCATGCGCAGCAATGACAGGATCTCACTCTGCTGTTCCTCTGTGATGTGCAACCCGAATTGCTTGGTGTCTTGTACATCTAGCTTCAACCTGATGGGAATATGCAGGTAAGCCATGGACAGGTTAACCGATGCAAGAAATCCTGCTTGGTGATGGGGTTCAGTGGGAGTATAGAAACAGCAAGAATGTTGCTGCAGGAGGCCCATGCCCTCATTTTTTAAAGGAGGGATTTTAAAATAATTTCCTATGATGGCTTCTTCAGAGAAGAAAAAAAGATATCTGATACTACGATCATCACTAAGTTTTTTAGGAAACCAAAGCCTTATATACAGTGTATTTTTACTTAAGTATTTTAGTAAGTTACCCTGGTATTAAATAACGTGTTGTCACTTCTTAAAGATTGGAGAAGTGATTTCAATTGGCAAACATTGAAATAAAAATAATCTAAGCAGGGACCTCAGCTTGATGGCCATTCTACCAAGCCAGAAAAGTTTCAACTGTTACCATAAATCAATGTCATTCTTAAGATTTTTATAAAGTGGATTAAAGTTTCTTTCACACAGTTGTTTTAAGTCTTCAAATTCTTAAATTCGTATATGAAAAAATTAAAGCTGGATGGCTGCAAAGTCAGTTTTAAGATTTCTGTCGCGCCGAGGTAGGTATTGTTCCAGCCGCACTCGCACAAAGGGATTCCGCTGCACAGGAGGAGCTGTGATCGCCATGGAGCAAGTGGC